TCCTGCACTCACAGTGGCCAGAGGTGCCAGGAGAGCCAGCCCAGGACACATGAGACGTCGGTGTGGCTGCTGCCTCTACCGGTCAGCTCCGTGGACTCCATGGCTCTAAGCATGGCCCTTGGGCCAACTCCACCACACTCATAGTGCTCGGCTCAACCCCAGACAATATCATGCTTGCGGTACCCGGTAGAAAGAAGAGTCTTAATGCTTAAAGATTAACCAAACAGATTTATGTATCAGCAAATACTCAATACACACGATGCCCACACAATTGGAATTGTTAACCCAATAACCTAACCTTGATAAGAATAACTACCTTAGACTGCTAGAGATATGGGTACATCCTTAGCGATCTTCTCTCTCCTCCTTCTTCTTCTTCCTCTCTCTCCCTCCCCTCCAAACTTCTCCAATCCACCTCCCCTTCTACTGCCCAATCACTGGCTTTACCCTTTATTTTACAAATTAAGGTGGGCAGTAGGTTCACATCTGCATCCCCTCCCAAGGAAAGCAGAATTAGCATCAAAATACAAGCCCAGGGCTATCCACAACAGACTGTAGCAGAAATAAACAAAGTAAATAAAAACAGAACAAAACATCAATGAAATGTGTTACGTGCATGTATGTACATGCTTATTGTATACGTATGTGTGCAAGTCCATGTGTGCATGCATGTGCACATGAGTGTGTGCACGCATGTGCATGCATGTGTGAATGTGTGTGTACATGTGAAAGCCAGAGTCTGACTGCAAGTGTCTTCCTGGCTTCTTCTTCACATTTTCTTTTGATATATTTAATGTATGTATTTTGCACGAATGTCAATCTGCATACGTGTGCATGCCTGGTGCCTGTGGAGGTCAGAAGAGGTCATTGGATCCCTGGGAACTGGAGTTATGGGCAGCTATGACAGCTGTGTGGGTGCTAGTAATCAAATCCAGATCTTCTGCAGGAACAAGTGCTCTTAACTGCTGAACCATATCTCTAGGCCCCTTCACTTTAACTTTTGAGGCAGGTTCTCTTCACTGAACTTGGAGCTCACCGGTTGATTGACTACAGTGTCTGGCCAGCAAGCTACGAGGGTACACCTGTCTCTACCCGAAGCCTGCAGAACTGAGGTTACCAACATGCATTACTATATCCAACTTATTATGTGGGTGCCATCCTCCCAGCCCAAAAGATAAGCAATAACAAACTCATCCAGGCTAACGGAAGAAAAAGATAAGATCTGAATAGGCAAAATCAGATATGAAAACCTGTCCTGCTATTCTTAAAGGCTTGTTTTTGTATATCCAGATGAAGCAGACATTGAGCAATAGCCAAACTGCTTGGCAGTTCAGATAGCTAGCACATCAATTATAAGTTTGAATCGGCTAACAGGAACACAGATTGGAATCCAGCAAGATGGAGTCTGTTGAAAACTGACATATCAGATTGGTTTGGCAGCTCTAAATTAATATCCAAGGCACACCCTCTTTCCCTTTTCTTCCACATTTTCCACAGCGTAAATAGTCTTCATTCCCAGGTTTATCTCATAGTCCAGAGAATTAGTAGGGTCCCATACATTATGTCTGTGTCCCAACAAGAAAGCATGACTTCACAAAAGCACACTATACTGGCTGGTTTTGTGTGTCCACATGACACAGCTGGAATTATCACAGAGAAAGGAGCCTCCATTGAGGAAATCCCTCCATGAGATTCAGCTGTAAGGCATTTTCTCAATTAGTGATCTAGGGTGGGAGTGCCCATTATGAGTGGTGTCATCCCTGAGAGAAAACAAGCTGAACAAGCCAGGGGAAGCAAGCCAGTAAATAACATCCCTCCATGGTCTCTGCATCAGCTCCTGCCTCCAAGTTCCTGCCCTGTGTGAGTTCTGTCCTGACTTCTTTTAGTGATGAACAGCAATGTGGAAGTGTGAGCTGAATAAACCTTTTCCTCTTCAACTTGCTTCTTGGTCATATTGTTTTGTGCAGAAATACAAACCCTGACTGAGACACACAATCCAACTGTCAGTCCCAAGGAGCCTTTAAAGATCAACACTCAGTAGTCACAGGAGAAGTTGGTAAATTCAGTATTCAGTATCTACTTGTATTAGTCACTACTTGGAATAAAATCAAAGTTCCATTAGTCAGGAGAAGGATGCAAACGAATCCCAGATAGGTGACTACTTGGTCTTGACTAGCACGCAGTCAAAATCAAAAAGGAACAGAACTGAAAAAGAAACTAGCCTCTTTGGAAAATGATTTATCTGGCTGGGCTTTGATTCTGCTGATGTTGACTGAGCAACTGACACAGTTTCTTGGTATTTCAAGATCTAAAGGCACCACCCATGGGTGTGTGTAGCCCTGAGTAGAATGTACTCAGAGCAGCGAGCACATCAGCAGAGTTGGCTGCCAGTTCCTTTACAGAGTTCCAACCCTCCTTCTGGTCATGAACTTGAGTCAAGGTTCATTTGTTCTTTCTTTTTATTTTGTTGGTGGGGGCAGTGCTGCTCAAAGCCTCCCTGCCTGCCTGCCTGCCTGCCTGCCTGCTTACTTGCTTACTTGCTTGTATATAGATTCTTTTCTCATGCAGTACATCCTAATTATAGTTTCCCCTCATCTAGTCCTCCCAGGTCCTCCTTACCTTCCCTCAGGATCCACTCTCTGTCTGTTTCTCATTAAAAGAGAATGGGCTTCTAAGAAAGAGCAACCAAAGGTGACAAAATAAAATATAAGATGAAGCAAAAAAACTCTCTCTCTCTCCCCAGGAGTTTATTTCCCTTACATGTAGGATGGTTCACAAACACAATACAAGGACTTCAGCACTGTGGGGGAGGGAGTATCCCAGGCCTCTTAGAGTAAGAGGCTCTTAGCCTTAATGTATACTGAAATTCGGACCTGAAGGCTCTGAATTTCTGCATCACACATCCAGTAGGGCTTGGGAGTGAAGCTAGACCCAAGGCTATCTAAGCGACAGGCCAAAGTGACACGAAGCCCACTTCCTGTGCTCCAACCATGAGTTTCCATCCCAAACCAATGGAACGTGATTTAACTTGGTAGGGCCCAAACGGACAGTCAGTTCTACTCCTTTCACTTCCCAGGAATCCACATTGGTGACATATTTGATTCTACCCATTATAAGTGGTAAAGGGATTAGCCTGGTCCCAACCATTATGGGGAGGTGTAAAAGGCTCGAGAAGGTACAATGTAGATTAGGCCACCGGATGGGGCAGATGATGTCATCCAAAGCATGTGACTAGAGCAGTAACCAAAGGGCAACCTAGTCCTCTACCTGGACAGGTAGAGGGATGGGCAGTTCTCATTGTTTGGCGTTGATGACGTCCACAAATTCAGGCTTGAGAGATGCACCACCCATGAGGAAGCCATTCACGTCAGGCTGGCTGACCAGCTCTTTGCAGGTTACTCCAGTCATAGAACCTCCATAAATGAGGCACCCCTCAGAGACATTGGATTTCAGCCATGTCAAGAGCTTCTCAAGTACTTCCTGGGCCTGTTGAGGGGTTACAGTCTTGCCAGTCCCAATGGCCCACAGAGGTTCATAGGCCAGGACCACCTTGTTCCAGTCTTTCACGTTATCTGCAATGACCTTCGTTTGCTCGAAAACTATATTCTCGATGATGCCAGCCTCCCTTTAGTCTAACTTCTCCCCAAAGCAGGCGATCACCCTGAGTCCCTATGCCAGGGCATGGTTCACTTTCCCAAAGATGTGCCTTCTTTTTGAGTGCCCCAGCACAACCCAACCCAACAGGAGAAAAGGGTCCCAAGAACAGGCACAGGAGTCAGAGGCCCACTCATTCTCACAGTTGAGAGTCCCATAACAACCCTAGGCTAATAGCTGTCATGAATATGTAGAGGACTGGCTGCAGATCCATGTCTCCGTTTCTGTGAAATCATATTCTCCTGCTTTGTTGATTCAGAGGGCTGAGTTCTCTTAGAGTTCTCCACTCACACTAATTCTGTCCACCCTTTCACCTCCTCTTCTGTGGGATTCCTTGAGCTCTGAGAGGAGGGATTTGATGGAGACATCTAGTTTAGATTCTGTCTCTGTACAATGTCTGTCTGTAGGTCTTTGCATTTGTTCTTGTCTGCTGCTGGAGGAAGCCTCTCTGATGATGACTAGGTAAGTCACTGATCATACTCGTGTTGAATCAGGTTCTTGAACTTACCTGAACTTTGGTCAAGGTTGCTGATGCACTGGAGTCAGAGCTACTGTCAGCAGGGACTTCAGCACCAGATTAGAGCAAACCTCTTCACCCTCTCCAGTGTTTCTCATGACCTGGGGCAGAGAGATGCTTTCCCCATGTGCAATGTTCTTCACTGCACTCTGGACAGTTTTAGATGAGACTTGCCTCCTCTCTGAGACAACTGCTGGACAGTAACATGAGAAGTCTGAAACACAGAGACTACTGTTGGCTTGAAATCAGCATCTCATTCAAAATGTTTTTTATTTTAAGTAACATATTTGTATGTGTTTATGGTATACAGTTTCAATTTGATATGTGTATATGGCATATAATGGTAAAAATCCCACTAATTAGCATTGCCATTTCTGAAGCATCATCATTCTTGGTATCAGTAACTTTGATGCATAGTTAATTATTGTACAGTTTCTCTATTGTGCTTTATAATATCAATATCATTTCCCACTCTTACTGCTTTTTGGTACCCATCCCAAACGGTCACCATCTTGCTGTTCTCTTCCTTATCTTCTGCTGGCATCTAGTCTTCTCTCCACTCCCGAATGACTGACATTTTTACTTCCCATGAATAAACTTGAACGTGAAGCATTTGTTTTTCTGGGCCTAGCTTATTTCACCTTATGCAATATCTTTCATTTCCATCCTATGCTGCCACAAATGACAGGATTTCATCTTTATTCTGTTATCTCTACACACCACCCTCGTTTTTAGACATCCCTCTGTCTGTGGATGTGTCAGTTGTTTTGATCTCTTGGTATTGTGACAGCTGGTGCAAAGAAGATGGGTGGGTGGGGCGGTGGCTGACATGTTCCAGGGCGCGGATGGCCAACCTGGCGAGTTGAGCTCCAGATCCATGAAGCCCCCCAGAGGAGAATCAAGCGATCTTTTTGGAAGTCCAGAAGAAGGTATTCCTTCAAGCAAGCCTAATAGGATGGCATCTAATATTTTTGGACCAACTGAAGAACCTAAAAACATACCCAAGAGGACAAATCCTCCAGGAGGCAAAGGAAGTGGGATCTTCGATGAATCAACTCCTGTGCAAACTCAACAACGTCTGAATCCACCCGGTGGGAAGACCAGTGACATATTTGGGTCCCCAGTCACTGCCACTGTGCCTCTGGCACACCCAAACAAGCCCAAGGATCATGTTTTGCTGTGTGAAGGCGAAGACTCTAAGTCTGACCTGAAAGCTACAGCAAACTCCACACCCAGAGGACAGCAGGGCGAGAAAGGAAGCTCAAAAGAAGCGGAGCGTGCAAAGATACCAGAGCCCACACCCACGGTTGACAGTCATGAGCCCAGACTGGGGCCAAGACCTCGCTCCCACAACAAAGTCCTGAACCCACCAGGAGGCAAATCCAGCATCTCCTTCTATTGAGAGGCTCCTGCTCTGCCTGTAATTAGATCAGACAGAGATAGGGCATTGAATGTTAGTGTTTCCTTTAACTCAAATGAGTCGGATGGGAGAGGGTTTGTCAAGTGTGGGATTGACTGCTCATAGTCATTGGCAGAGCTGTGCAAAGGACTATGCCTTCTAAACTGCCAAGGTATACATTGTGGGGACAAACCGGGATGTTCTGTGTGGCCTGCGTGTAATCGTCTCGCCAGCAAGAATGCACGCGGACACCAGGATCCTTCCGCAGCAAACGTTTATTCCAAATGAAAATGGAGGAAGACCCCAGGCCCAGAAAAGGCACTGCTTATATACCCTTAGAGCGGTGTGTTCACCTCTGATTGGCTGCTTACTCGTTGCCCGCCAAAACGCCCCGGGATGGGCTTTGACTTTGGCGCGCTTTTACCATAGCACACGCGCGGTTTACTTGTTTACTAGGAGGAGCACCGGATGCCAGCGCCATCTTGCAATGGCAAATTCTGCCAGCACAAGCCGTGGCTTCCTACAGTTCTGGTCCCTCCTCTAATTGCTCCTCTCTGTGAAACAGATCTGTAAAGCTGTGGGGAAGGCAGAAGAGATGGAGCCCGTTAACAGGAGGATTCCAGGGTCAAACTCTTACGCTGTGTGCTTAGTCACGAGACCTCGGGTACACACAGTAGAGTAGCACAGACAGGTGCTTGGCGGCTGCTGTGTAGGGATGTCACACAACTCCCTTCCCCAGGTCTTTAGTCATAAGGTTGAAACATGTTTCCTGGGTGACTCTAACCAATAAATGACCATACCCAGGAAAAGCAAAAAAATAAAATAAAATAAAAGAACATGGGGTGGGCATGGAGCTCTTATCATGTACCTTAGGATACACACCCAAAAGCACAGTGACAGGATCACATTATAACTCCTCTTCAGTTTTTAAAGGAAACTCTTTTCCTTCTTTTCTTTTAGATGTATTTATTTTAGTATTTCGAGTGTTTGCCTACATGTAGGTATGTGCACCAAGTGCACCAAGTACACCAAGTGCATGAGGCTTGTGCCTTTTCTCTTGGTGCTAAGCTGACTTAGCTTATTGCTGCTTCTGCTGATTCCTTTGCTAGAAACAGGATCGATGTTTCCCAGCTTCCAACGTTGACTGAGGTCCAGCGGCTCTCCTGGAATACTCCAGGCCTTTGAACAGATTGGAAGAGCTAAGATACTCACACTGCCTCAAGGACAGAGCAGAGACTTACCATCACAATTTTGATTTAAGCTAATTTAATAAGTTCTTTATGTCTTGTTCTTCTAGTAAACTTTGATTAATGCACAACATTCCTTTCACTTCACTGTTCTGAAGTAGTTTGAAAGGATATTAGTTATTCTTTTTTTTTTTTTTTTTTTTTTAATATTTATTTATTTATTGTATTAATGAGTACACTGTAGCTGTCTTCAGACACACCAGAAGAGGGCATCCAATCTCATTACGGATGGTTGTGAGCCACCATGTGGTTGCTGGGATTTGAACTCAGGACCTCTGGAAGAGCAGTCAGTGCTCTTAACCGCTGAGCCATCTCTCCAGCCCGATATTAGTTATTCTTAATTTTAAAAAAAATGTTTTTGAGACCAAATGTCACTGTGTAGCTCGAGCTAGCCTCAAACCTTGTTTCCTTGCCTCAGCCTTTGTGGTGGTTTGGATGAGAATGTCCCCTTGGCTCAGATATTTGGTTACTTGGTCCCCAGTTGTTCTTGGTGTTTGGAGAGGGTTAGAGGTGTGGCCTTGCTGGAGGAGATGCGTCAGTGCTGGCAAGCTTGGCAGTTTCAAAGCCATATGCCAAATCCCACTTTGTTATTCTTTGCTTCCTGATTGAAGTTCAAAATGTGTGCTTCCCATGGTTGTGTCCATCATTTCCTGGTAGACTTTTGGAACCACAAGCCAAATAAACCCCTCCTTCTACACACTGCCTTGGCCTTGGTATTTTGTCATGACATGGGAACCTCTACTAGGGTAGTAGATCTGAAAGCCCTTTGTATTTCTATGGTATCAGAACAACTACCAAAAACCTTCAGAAAACCAAAAATTAGGTCACTGTAATAAGACCAGTTTTAATCCTCTCAGGAGAAGAGTGGAACATCTTACTTGCAATCAGGGCTGTGCTGGAACACTTATACCAGATGAGTTCAGAAATGACCTGATTTCCCATTTCAGAAAATAAGGCAAAGCCAGTGCAGAAGGATGCATTCTTCCCTGCAGAGGCTCGAGTCCTGCAGGGCCTAATCTCTCATGGTGACTGTACAAAAGGCCCAATGTTTCCTGAAGCTCACATTCCTCTATCAAACTCAGCCTGGATTAACCACCCCATACTTCTCCTCTGTCACCAGGAAGCCTTGACCATCTGCATTTTATCACTGGTTCCATATACTTAATATCTGCCTTGTTTCCCCATAACAAAGATACTAATACCATCTTTTTCTCCAAGCTGTGTTGTGATGAGTCCTTAATTGATGTTTATAACATACTTAATGAGCCGAAGATGAAAGACGCTGAAGATGAGTAAGGTGGTCCTTCCCTCTGACTCACCACCTACCCTTATTAGCTATGCAGAGTGAAAAGCCTGCAGCTACAAACATAATAGTTATAGGTGCACATTAGCTCAAATATACACCCATGAACCACATAAAATATAGATACCACATTTACCAATCAAATTCTTGACTCTCCTTATCAGGACAGTAGGCTCTGTCAGTGTATTAAGCGTTTGAAAGTCCTTAATATTAAAAATGTAAGTTGGCTAGAAGATCATGGTAAAGGTGAAAACATCTTTGGTGAACACATGAAGTTCTTTACACTTAAATATATAGGTGAAGAGTCATTCGATGGTGATATGAAACTCTACTCAACTTGAAAGAAATAAGTTTTAAGTTTTGCTTTACTCTTTGGTTATTGAAACTACCATAATAACATGAATTTCATAAGAAGTTGAAACTACCATAATAACATGAGTTTCATAAGAAGTTAAAACAACTAAATGATAAGCTTGGTACCAAAGGAAGAATGGAGTCCAATTGAAGTGCCCTGGGTTCTTTGCAGCCTCTGATGAAGCACACTGCTGTATAATTACCAACTGACTCATAAATTCACAGCTGAGGTGTTCTCGAATATTCGCCACCCCTCCTCCCTTGACACATTCATTTATATATTCTGTGACGTGCAGTGAGAAAGCTCCCCACCCAGCTGATGAGGGAAACTGATATGCTCCATCCCTCCCCGATGTTTAGAATTCTAAAGAAACCTCAGTTGCGCTCCGAGTCATTTCTTCCTCGCATCCCTTGGCTTCGTCTGGTTCTCCAGTGGCATCCCTTTTGCACGTCTCCTTAGCTTTACTGCATATTGACTTTACATCCTTGCAAGCACTGGCTTCATAAGGTCTAATCACAGGGTAAGCATGGTCCTAATCTTTTTTTTTTTTCTTTTTTGGTTTTTCGAGACAGGGTTTCTCTGTGTAGCCCTGGCTGTCCTGGAACTCACTCTGTAGACCAGGCTGGCCTTGAACTCAGAAATCCACCTGTCTCTGCTTCCCAAGTGCTGGGATTAAAGGCGTGCGCCACCACTGCCCAGCGCATGGTTCTAATCTTTATGGAAGTTTCAATGATAGATTCCAGAAGACTTGGAAATGAGCCAGGAGTTAGCTCAGTGGGTAAAAGCCCTTTCTACCTAAATTTGATCCCCAGAGCCTATGTGAAAAGTCAATGGAGGGGCAAAAACCTATACTAGAGGGTCTCCTTTCGTAGTGTGCTGGAAGGTGAAGACACGGAATTTACTGGAAACTCATAGACCGGCTAGCCTGGCGTATATATAGCTATAGCCCAGCTCTACAACAAGATAAAAGAAGAGAACAGAGTTCTGGAAAAGGTGCCCTCTGACCTGCACACATACACTGTAGCATGCATGTTCTTGAGTGTGCAGGCGCTCAAACACCCCCCCACACACACACATACACACAGATAGATACAGACACACACACACACACCACTTTAAAATAAATGGTTTAGGAACAAATTATGTATATTTCTGCTCTTTGAAGATGTATTTCCCAATTCAGCATTATAGAAGGTTTATATCTTAAAATTAATCTGCACTTTTAATACATCTTCCTGAGACGTTGTAATCAAACTGAGTATAATGTTAGCTAGACAGATATCTGCAGACTTGGGGGCCATTGAAGATGGTCCACCTTCCTCATAGTGGCCTCTCTGTCTCCCTCATTACAGTACAAACGGAAGCCCCTCTTTAGCACACAGGTGATCGTGTGAAAAGGTGGAAGTTCCTGGGCTTCATGGAAGCAGCTGTGACAAAACTACTTCTTCCTAGTGGAAAGGGGAGAATCTGAATTCTACCTCCAACCCTGGAGGAAACCCAAAACATTATACACTGTTGTCCTCTGAGGGTTAATCCAGCTGAGCCCACCAATCATCAGGCAGTGAGTTGACTATCCCATCTGCCTGAATCTCATTCACCTAAAGACCCTGGGAGAGGACACTATACTCACCCTTCACAGATGGCACAGACACCTAAGGTGCTCGCATTAGGCCATACTCCAGAGCTAACTGGTTTTCTAGGTGTCTGCTTTTTGAGTCCTAACTCAGAAGATCATAAATAACTTCCTTTTCCTTCTTCCTAGCTCTTTTTTCTTTGAGATGCTGGCTGAACACATGCTCAGCTTTCTCATTCTTTCTCTGAATCACTGCTTCCCCCAACAGTGCTCCCTTTCGGTTACACAGTGCTTGCCCACCTCCACTGCAAAAGGCATGACTTTCCCTCTTCCTCTTCAACATCTACCTCCTCCAGGCAGCTGCCAAGATTTACAGCTTGCTCATCCTGCTGGTTTTCTCTCAGATTCAAATAAAACTGTCCTTGAGGTTCCTTCTGAGTTTCTCAATTCTTTGATTTACAAGACTAAGGACCTGAAAGAGAAATCTCCATTTCCCTGGTGACATATAATATTATCCCTTATACTCTATTAATCAAACACATTTGCTAAAAGCCCCCAGAATCCACCTCTATCACCA